TCCATCAAATGGAATTAAATTTCCATCATCACACTTTTCATTTCCTACTACAATGCCATCTCCACAAATAGAAATGCATTAATTTTCATATAATTGCCAACCTTAAATTTAACATTCTAAGCAAACTCTATCCAAACATTTTGTGCATCCTAGTTCACATATAGATTAACATTAAAAGCATCCATCTTAATCAATTTCATTTCCATCATCACATTACTCATTTCCAACAATTATATTATCTTCACAATTAGACTTACATTCTCTAGAGACTAAGTCGATTTCCCATCCCAATCCTTTACATGAATAACATTACCCAGATATACAACTTAAACATTCCTTCTGACATTAAATTTAACAGTTTTAACATCTAGATTAAAATATTATGTTTCCTTCATCGCATGATTCGTTAGAAAACAACTATTCCATCGCCACAAATACTGAAACAAGAATTATCTAATAAATTTATATAATATCCAAATTTACACTCATAACAAATACCCATTTTGCAATTAATACAATTTTAGTCACAAGAGAATTAACATTGAAAACACCCATCATAAGGTATCTCATTGCCATCATCACATTATTCATTTTCGACGAGTTTAAAATCTCCACATATTGGTAAGCATCTCTAAACTTATTCTGCATATTGCCACCCTTCTTAACAATTTCAGCATGCACCTCTAACTCAAAAAGCACAACCATCAATAAATTCAGAAATGTCTAATAAACACCCTTCAATAGGTAATCCTAGTTAATTTATGTCAATCTAGAGCTGTTAGAAATAATTAAAAATCAGTAATCCCTAAAGTAGGATAATCTCCTGTCATATCAAATTATGGCATAATCAAATCAACACGTATTTTGATTTATGAGTTTGTGTGCACGATATTATTTATTATTACATCAAGTATTTATATATGATTACAAAATGGCCTTGTCCAAATTATCCTATTTGATAATTACTATTTTCTAATTATACATCAATAAATATTCATATTTTGTATTTTTTTTTTAAATTTATTTGCAAACCTCCAAATATTTAATAATTAAGATTAAAAAGGAATTAGATTATCAAAATGAATATTCAATATTTAAGACTTAAAGATGGGCCTAAATAATGCTTGAGAAGGCGAATTTATTTTGAATTAATTTAAATAAAATTTCTTTTATATTGCAATATTACAGAAATATCTAAAGTAGAGTAAAAACAATGAAATTTTCAATACAATCAATTTACCTTTGACTATTTTGGCCATAATCAATTAGAACTTTAGGAAGTATAAATAAATATTATCACTATGATTTATTAAAAACAACGAAGTTTTAAATAATGGGTTTAAATACTCTATAAGAAATTTCTATTGATTATTATTAGGAAATTTAACATTCAGATAATGTGTTGTAAGTCCAATAATTACAAGATTAAATTTGATAAATAAAATTTATCTACTTAATTTCAAAATATTAAATCTTGACATAAATTTACATTCTGAAATCATATCTAAAAGGAGAATTATAATTAATATTGTCAAGAAATGAAGTTATATATTATTGTTCATTTTATGTTATTAATTTGTATTCATTGAATGAAGAAGATATTCAGTAATATTACTTGATATTTCACTTTATTTTTGCTCTAATTCGCTTATAATCTCCTCTCATAATTTATCAAATGCTGCAGTTAGTTAACCATCATTTATTTGAATTAAGCTAATTAATATAGATCTTTACTCCTCTTTTGTTTTGATACTCTCTTTCTATATTTTTAATAATTATAATAAAATTAAATGATATAAATCAACTCAAGAGTTGGGTTAACAATATCTATATTTTTTTTTTATTTCTTCAACAATGATAACTTCTGAATCTTTTAATGAACTATTAATACGTTGGCTTAATTGCTTTAAATATTTCAAGTAAATTTTCTTCTAAATATTTTGATCTTACTTAAAAGCTAGGAGTTTATCTTATATATCTTGTTCAATTTGGTTAAACCTTATTCTAAGATCTTCATTAGTATCAACTAAAATTGAATTAATAAAGGTCGAATTTTTTACAGGGCTACTGCTAATTCTATCAATTATTTCATTTGCTATTACATACTTAAAACTAAAATCGTATTTGTCATAAATTTTTTCAAATTTATTTTTCATCAATTAATCTTGCTTGTATTAGATTAATTCATCAAATTCCAATAAATCTTATTAATTACAAATAGTTTACCAATTTGAATTTACATTTTATATGAACAAACTTAAACTTTACATTTGGGAGATGTCAGTTTAGGATTGAAACTTTTTCACAAAATTCTCTATTATTCTTATCCCAAAAAGATAAGCTTCTTCAGAAAATTTTTCATTTATTATTAATTATCTCCAATCGTTAATAATACCTAAACTTTCATTCTTTCTCCATAATTTCTCAATATTTGCAAATCCTAATATTTAAATATTTTCTTTGGAAATATTCAAAAATCCATTATAATCAATCGCTTAAATTGTTGCATCTTACTCATTATGATATTCTTAATTTAAACTATTGGCAATTCCTTATATTTAGTTTAAAAATGGAGCAAAGTTGTTAGCATCGTTATTTTAATTAAAACACCAACTTAATTACTTTATAAAAGAGAGATTAGATTTCATAGATACTAAATTAAAAATGCTCATTTCAACTAAATTTTTAAATTGTTGATTTATATCTCCTTTAACATTTATCAAAATGATATCACTTATTGCCAAGACAAAAAGAGCAATTTTTTTATCAAACTCAGGATCAATCTGATTTGGATTCTATAATCCTTCTGAATCAAGTATTAATATATAATCAAATAAATTATTAAAGTATTCTTTAAATTAGATTTTCAACAAATTTAAATAAATACCTTTTGTACATCTACCAACACTTGTCCAAAAATGGCATCCAAATATTTTATTTAAAATAGTAGATTTTCCTGAACTTTAAGGTCCTAAAACACTTAATACTAAAACCTTCTCTTTTCCCGAATTTGTGAATTTATTTTTAAGTTCATCCAAAAATTTTGCATTTATCTAAAGAGAATCTCCGTCTAGAAATTCAAAAGGTTCCCCTTTTTTAATCATTTCATATACTTTATCTGCTGGATCAATTTATTTATTAGCCAAACTTCTTTAATTAATTGCAATCAGCTCCCTCCAAAACATTTCTATCCCAATATTTCTGAATGCTATATTTTCCAAATTTTATTTTAGTTCCTGCTTTAGTTCATCTTGTTATTTTTTATATATTTTATTTTTTCCATCATAATTTATTATTGATGAAGCTTCTTTATTAGTTTCATTCTTTTTAAGCTTTATTTAATCCCTGTCTTTTTTAAGTTTCATCAATTTTTCATTAATAATTTGATTTTTTTCCTACAATTCATAAGTGTTACGTTCATTAAATTTTCTAACTTAATCTGTAAATTATAAATATAAAATATAGTATGAGCTTTAGTCAAATATTTTACAAAACATATTTAAAAGGTTTGATAATTCAGCGTTCTTAATTGAATCTTCTAATTTGATTATTTATTACTTTGTTTCTTCATATTCTTTGTTATCTTGATTTTTGTCAAACTCCTTTTAGTTGTTTGTTTAAATTTAACTTGTATTATTTTTTTATTGAATCAATTAGATTTCTTTTTCTTTTAAAATCTTTAATTGGTATTCTATGGATCTGATTGGAAAAGCTTCTTAATCATAAAATCCCAAAGGTGTTTAAACCAATCTATTTAGTTCATTTTCTAAATCTTTAATGATAACCCTGTCTTATAAAAATTAATGAGAGATATTTTTTTCTTTTGAATCAAATTTTTATATTATTCCTAAAAAATCTTAATTAGTGACTAATGATTATTGTTAATTTACTTTAGTGATCTCATTGAAAATAAAAGATTAGGCAAGTTACAATTCTTACTCTTTTAAAGATTTATCCAAACCTTTCTAAGCCAAATCAATTATTTTATGTACTTTTATTCCATCTTTTTTCAACTGCTCTAAATTTTTCTTTAATTCTTCATTAATAATATTCTCTTCTAACTCTCCTTTGTAATTTCTTATAATAAAACATATTGTAGAATTTTGTTTAGGCAGGCTTTTCTTGATTTCCTATAACTTTCTATAATTTTCAATAAGTTCATATTCTGAATCAAATTGTAGAATCCACATTCGGAATAATGGCAAAATTTTAACTAATAATTCTATTGGAAATTAGCCATGAGCATCAGCAACACTAAAATTTCTTGATCCATTAAATTATGTATCAAACATTATATCAATAGTATTGTTATTTAATTGGCAAGTATCCTATGTCTCAAATTTATCCTATTAGTAAAACAATTAATTTATTAACTCTGTCTTCCCTATTTAAGCTTACTTTTAGCTTAAGGAAAAATTAATGATAGGAAAAGATGTTTAAAATACATAATACAGTTTCTCATTAAATCCATATAAATCAATTTCTTCTTTAGCAGTTTATAAAGATGGATTTTGAAAAATTAAAGGGACAGGATACATAATTTAATAGTGTTTCAGTAACATAACCTGAAGTTCATCATTAGAATTGTTATAAAATAATTAAAACAAGGCTTTCCTATTGCTGATAATGTTTATAGATTCTCTATTTTAGTTGTTGAATTATTTGATTATTGATAATAACTGTATGGATGATTCCCCCCTCTTAATAATGTTAAAAAAAAAAGGAATTAATGATTTAAATTTTTATGTATCCTTAATATTATCCATCCAATCCCGCACAAGTTTTTTCTGCTATTGGAAGGATGTTTCAGTTAAGGAGATATTGAAATCTTCAAGTGAAAAGCAACCATCTAATGGACATTAATCAAATATATATCCATTCTTCGATTGAAATCTACCCTATCCTGTTCTAATATTATTTTTCCAAACTCCATAATAATAATTTCCATTAGCCCATGTATATTTACCCTTTCCATGTTATTCACCATTTACAAAATCTCCATCATATTCATTTCCATTTGATTCTTTAAATCTACCCTATCCTGTTCTAATATTATTTTTCCAATCTCCATAATAATAATCTCCATTAGCCCATGTAAATTTCCCCTTTCCGTGCCATTCATCATTTACAAAATCTCCCTCATAATAACCTTCATCATCCAATATCTCTCTACCTTTTCCATGTTTTTCATCATTTACAAAATCACCATTATAAAAGTAATCTCCAAACCAGTATTTCATTATACCATTTCCTTCTCTTTTATCATTTTGCCAATCTCCATAATACAACTCACCATTGGCACATTTCATTATACCAGCTCCTTCTCTTTTATCATTCTTCCATTCTCCATAATACAAATCACCATTGGCATATTTCATCTAACCCTTTCCTTCTCGATTATTATTTTTCCAATCTCCATAATATTCATCTCCATTGGCCCATTTATAATTACCTAAACCTTATCTTTTATCATTTATCCAACTTCCATAATATTCAGCCTCGTCAGTATATATCATTTAACCCTCTCCATGCTAATTTCCATTAACAAAATATCCATCATAGTAATTTCCATTATTGTATTTTATTACATGTTTACCATTTAACCCTTTAGACCATATGCTCATCTTCAATTTATTTTTATTATAAAAATGCCTAATAGAAATACAAATTAGATATGTCATTTTAATCAATTAAGAAATATTTGAATAATAAATTTAATTATTGTATTTAATAATTCTAAATAAAAATATATAAAACAATTAATCCTTAAAAAATTAAACGCTTTTCGGATATTACTTTATAATTATTCTATACACTAAATACATTACATCAATGTCATTTATATGATTATTGATTATTAATCAATAAAAAATAGAAGATAATAAAATCATAATAAAACAAAAACAATTTCACATTAGTTGGATTTTAGATATACTTAATATCAACAAATAATTTAATGGTTGAGAAGCAATTGATTAATTAACTATAGAGAAAGCATATTTATATAATTTGATGAAGCAGAAGCTTAGGTGTACTCAATAGTATGAAAGAATAATTCATATTTAAAAGATAGATCCTTTTGAAGATCTAAGCATGATATAATTTATAGAAGAAAACACAAAATTTCAATTAGTAGGTATGATGGCAGGAATAATAATAACGGAAAGCATTATAAAAATATAAAAATTTAAATAAAGTTTTACAAAAATCAATTATTTAAGGTAAATTAAGCCTATACATAATGAAATACTTTTTCTTTTATTAAGATTATTCAACCCCAAGCAGAATTAGTAATCATTATTAATATAATCAAGCTGTTGAAAAGTCAAATAACTTCAATTCTATAAAATTATTCAATAACAATTGCCTTAAAATGTATATAAAAAGTCAAAGGGTATAATATCTTAGAAGAAAGTATTATTCATAGATGATATAAGAAATAAAATAAAAAATATCAAATTGTTACAAGAAAAGTATGAGAGACATTCATTATTTTTTCAATTAAGGAATTGGGATGCATTCTTCAGTGTTATAATAGTAAATGATTAATCCATTGTATTTACAAGCTCTATTCATACAAAAGGAAGTTTTGATTGGAAATATCTTATCAAATACAGATCTTATTTTTTTGAGTTAATCATTATATGTTAGATTCTAGTCAGCTTGTATTAAATAATCAAATAAATAGTTTGAAATACTGGGTTATGGATTGGAAATGTCTTCAATTTTGCAAAATTGCATTTTTTGTCGATAATGTAGATTCTGGAATTTATAGAATGAAATATTTTAAATATGATGAATTAACAAAATTAACTAAATTTAAGAAAACTAACTAAATCAAAGGCGGATAAAGCCATAGATCCTAAAATGGAATAATATATAAATATAATATTTCAGTTTATAATGGCATGAATAATTGATAATTTAAAATTTTCTTACAACAATAGAAATTCAACTGTTTTTATTAAATTAAACAAATCAATAGTAA